AAAAACCCGAAAAACCCATTAGATCCAAAAATTTGTTCATTTTTCTTTCAAACTTTTACAACATTTCTTGTTCTTCCGGACATTTTTTCATATGATGCTTTACTACTTGTCTGTGCTCTAAATATTCAGCGAATAATGTCGGCTTTATACTATACTTTAATCGAAGGAATGAGCTCCATTTGTTGCCTTGTTCAACATTCTTAGGTTGCATCTGCTATTTCATATTAATATTTTTAGTGAAGCGCTATTAATTTCACTTATATAGATCAGATGCGTCAAAATGTTTTTCATCTTTTCTGCCTCTAACAACGTAATTTACACTTTTTGCTTTCGACTGATGATAATAACCCTTTTTTGTTGCCTATAAAGCTTGAGAAAAACCAAAATGTTCCTCAATACCATGGATTTCCCTTCATGAATCCTCTTTGAAACCTTGATATTTCTGTTTGTGTGCATGACTCAAATTGCAAATTGAATTTTAAAGGCGACATTAAAAATAGTGAAAAGTCCAAGCAAATTTGAGCTTTGAGACTGACATCATTAGAAGGCCGTGTATGTAATTTTACCCTCTCCAGTTCTGAGCAATTGCAACAATTGATTTTGAGCAAAAATCTGCACAGCCTCTGCAGGATTCGGGGATTTTTCACTCTCGCTTCATTTTATAGGAGCCAAGGATTCCCGAGCAATAAGCGGCGTCCCGACGGCGACGGCATGGATTCGAGCGTCGAAGATTCGGGGCTCGAGTTTCCGGAGCGCCACCTGATGGGGGACTGCCAGTACGCCTGCGACCACGTGGTTTACAGCCCAACCACCTACACTTGTTTGCAGGTAAGTGCAAAAAATTTTGGCGATATTCACGCCCATTTGCAGCCCAAGTTTTAATTGAAAATTCCCTCATCAGCACGTGCTTTACCGTCAAATAAGTAAGAAAATAACTGCATATCAATCCGTATTTTTGAAAATTTACTAGTCCGGTAAGGTACTGGGAAAAGCGCAGTTGACCAACTTGTTGCCATTATTAGATGGAAAATAGGATTAGGAACGATATGTCAACTAAATCTAGACTATTTTTTATATCCTCGATCCTTGGGCTGGAACAAGGTTTAATCTTCGTACCGATTGAGTCTATAAAATAACAATAAAAAAATTAGGCATACAAACAGAAAACAAACTCAGGTGCGTTTGAAACACGAGAAAAATATTTGCAATTTTACTTCATAGAAATGTTTATCGGGCACAAAATACTTAGTGGAGTGAAATGGTGCAAACTAATTAAATTCCTGTTTGCCATGCCTTCTACCATTTTGAAGCTTGTTAAAGGCATTTTTGCTGCAGGAGCCTTGCAAGTTGCCGGTTGTTGTACACGCATTTAAAAGCCCATTTGCATTTCAACTTTAAGTCCTAATGGCTGCATTTGTATTACCGGTTTTCTGCATTTTAGTTGCATTCTTTTGGCTCTTTTTTACTTTTTTGGTTGAACCGTTTATTTCTCTATAAATTGCCTTTATTGTCATTGACCACCACCTTCCAGTAAATGTCTTCAGGGCGGAAACTGGCATATTTTGAATTATTTTAAACACTTTTTGGGTATTTTTCACTTGATTTGCGTTAATGAGTTTTTGGAAGCCATTCTCGGCCTGGGCTAAAAGCTTGAGCAAAGAAATGCACCATTTCCAGTGGCAAAAACCATCTAAATATGCCCATAACACCTAAAATCATCAACAATTTTTTTCACGAAAAATATATGACGAACCTACGGGAATCCGCTTTTTGCTCCCATGTGTTTCACCCTAAAATAGACCCTCGTCATTTCCCTTAGAAGGTTGTCATGTACTCGAGATATATTGTTTGTCCATTGTTTTTAAGGCCGCTTTAGACAATGAAGCCTTAATTATTTATGCCCAATTAACCAGTCCTCTGCTGGTAAAAGAGTAAATTTTCACAAGCAGACGGAAAAACCTGTTCAACTTTGTAAAATTTTTGGATTTTGATAAAACGTCTACAGTTGTGCTTGCAACAATCGCATTAATTACGCAATAAAAAATTTAAGCCAGTTTATTGGAGATTATCAAACAAAGTTATTAGTATATTTTCGATTTGGCCCCTATATTACATTCCGTGAAAGCCCCAGTGTCGGAAAATTCGAGCCGCTTTTGTGGATGCCTCGACATATTGTAGGAAATATCCAGAATACTAAATCTAGCTTCTCCAGCAACTTTGCCATCGATCTGAAAATTACGAAATATTTTTACTGCGAAGCATGTAAAATGTTCGGTTTTGTACTTACATTCTAAGAAAAATAGAAGAAAATATGTATTTTTTGTAGTCAAATAATATTTTAATGGAGTACTTGAATTCTCTTGAATGTTGATGGTTTGCAAATTTTCGTTGTCTTAGAAAACGTTAATTTAAATTTGCTTTTCGCCCAATCAGTTCATCGTTTTCAATCGCACAAATATTTCATCAAATATACAAAACTGCTTACTAAAAAAAACATGTATAATTTTCCTTTGGACCTTAAAGATGCTTTATTTCTCTTGCGCTTGCCTTTAATTCCTTAAAGTAAAACTTTTCATTGAAATTTGAAGGGAATCAGGGCTTCATTTGAAAAGCCGGTTAAAGCTCATTTTAATAGTTTTTAGGTCGGTTTGATTCATGGAACTTTTCCCGAACAGATTAATTCTCTTGTTTCTGTACAGTTCGAAAAAGACCGACTTTGTGACGAAAACAATGACTTATGTAATAACCAGGATTCCAACTTATAATCACCTTCACAACTTGAACAAGCAAGAAAATTAATATCTCTCTTCATTGTTTTATTTTTCGCCCTCAGCTGTTTTTCTTCCTACATCTAAACAATGCTGTTTTGTATCGCTCTGCTCCGAAACAAAGATTTATTTACTCGAAAATGAAATAACATTTCTGGAGATGCGAATTTTGCTTAGATGAAGATTGCTGTACTTATAATTGCATGAATGGCTTTTGTTGTAATATTATATAAAGTTAAATTGAGATTGAGAGTGAATAGAGGCACTGTTTGCGTCCGAGGAAAAATTAATTAAAATAATTTCATTAAATTTCCGACGAATTACCTCACAACACAAGTATTTGAGTGAGTTTCCTCATTAAATTTTTAAACTTTCGATGGAGTTCCAACCGATATAACTGTGATATTACTGCCAGACTTAAAAAATCGTTTGGCGAAATGAAATATGAGAACCGAGAGAATAATATTTGTATATAAAGTAGCATTGCAAATAAATGAAAATGGAGCTAAGTAAGCTGACTGAAATATTGAGTTCTAAATTGTTCAAACAAACCGTTTTCTCGATTGAATAAAATATATAAAATCGGATTTTCCAGATCGAGCATATGAGCGCGCTTCCTTGTTCGTTTTTAGTAAAATACCGAATTTATTACTTTGAAATATTGTGTTGCTATCTCGATATGTGTGCCAGGTATTTTCTGTTTGTTGAAGTCTCAGTTTGTGGCGAACGAAATGGCGCAACCAATTTTGGATTTGAATATGTATGTTTTATTAAATTAAATTAATTTTTTTATTAAATTCAATCAAAATACGTCCAAGAACTATTTTACATGTACATGTTCGGATATTTTAGATATAATTTTAGATACAAATTAATAGAAAATACAACCAAGTTTGTGTAACAATTAGGAGCAATTTGAGTAAAATCTTCCAAAGGTACTTACGTCTATTGCTTCCGAATATATTAAATATGCACCGAATATAAAGGACAATATTATATAAATGCAAATTGCGTCCGGTAGAGGAATTGGCCATCTGCAAATACACATCGTCGCTATTCGCAAATCATTGAATACTAATAAAATTATTATCGCTTTGATCAACACTAATGACATATTAAAGTTTCAAACAATAATTAGCCATATCCGTAGATGACACGATGCTTCCCCTATCGCAAAATTCATCCAGATATTCGAATAATTTTAGTTTAATGACTATACTTTTATGGACAGTGCCAGTTTAAATAAATCGAGTTATATTTATGCTATTATATTAAAGAGAATCTGTAATTGTATTTGGGCGTTTGTCCGAGTAATTTAACTAGCTGCATTATTACTACGGAACTGATCATTAGAACGAACATCGAGCTGTGAAATGAAATTAAATATATGTTTTTAATGCAATTGTATAAAATGTTTGAGAAAATTATATATATAACTGGGAAATTGCAGATTTTAGATTTTGTATACTTTAACAGGATTAAATGCAATAGAACCCGGTTACTTGTAAAGGTCTAAGAATTCTCAAAAAATTAGTACAGAATCATTTAATGAATTTTATTCTTTGTCAACTCAACTATTTTCAGATCTTTTGGACATCAGGCATTAAATTTTTCAGCAGATTTTTAACCAAAATCCTGCAACATTGACAATTTAAACATCGTATTGATTTCTAATATTCTGTAGGTTCATCCGCTAGCAATTCAGATAATTTCCTCCAGGCTTTAAACATGTAAGCCTGCAGCTTCAATGGCTTATCCAGAAAGTTTTATTCCTCATTTTTGCCCGTCTGGGAGACTTAAATCCTTAGCAAATCTTACTATCTCACCTTTTAACGCCTCGATGCCAGTTAGTATAAAATCACTTTCAAATGCAAAGAGTAAAACAGTTTTTATCGATTTAAAATCTGGAATATGCCTTGGATGGCTGCAGGTCGAAGCTGGCACGTAATCCCAGCTCACAACGACTCCCCAACCCTCTAGCCAAGTCACGTTCTCGAAACTTTACCTAAAATAAGTTATTTTTCTTTTTCGAAAGCAGGTAAGCCATTAGCAAAGCTGAGGACTACATTTCATTTTCGAGTCTGTAGCTTTTTGCCATCGCAGTTCCATAACTCAAAGGTCAAGACTTAATAATGCATGGATCTGAAGCCAACGTGGCAGAGTAGGCAGAGATTTTTAGGTATAGATAAGTGCCGTCTCTATGACCTGGAAAATGGCTGGGGATCGAAGCTGGAAAGCTCTAATCGGCATTAAGTGCTTAAATAAAATCCCTGGTTCAATTTTTTTCTTTAAGCCATGCTTGGCTTCACTTTAATATACGTTCCTGGTTTAATGATGGTACGAGGAAAACCAGCTCGATAATTTATCAGTTAAGTTTTTAACATTAAATACAAATTGTTTTTCAGGGAAATTATGCGCGTGTTCGCTCGTTTCTTGTTGCACTTTCGATGACCTCACTACGCGCTTGAATTGAAACATCTGTACTTTAAAAAGGATCCAATAGATTTTAATAAACTTAACTAGTTTGAGTGAGAAACTGACGTACTTTAATTTGCGGCAGCAGTTTAAATATTGCTGGATAATTGCGATGTTCTAATTAAAAATAAAATTATTCCAGCTAAAAAACTACAAGCGTGAATGTTTCAGCTATTGCCTAAAGAAGCTTTCTTAACAGTTTGACTGAAGACTCACTATAGCCTGAGGAAAACAACACATTTTTCAGTTAGAATGTTAAATTTTCAAAAAAACTGCTGTTTTGAACCATACATTGAAACAAACTGAGCAACTAAAAAATGAAAATCAAGGTTCATTCCACAGTTTTCGTTGCCACATATTTTCAGCGGCAATCATCCAGTATATGAACACTCACATTTACTTGATACTAATCAACTCAATGCCTAAAACAGCCCACAGAGTGGAAAAAGCATCTGGTTTATCCCTAAGCAATCGAAACTAACTTTCCAGAATTAATCACCGCGCCGAAAAAAAACAGGAAAAATACTTCGGGGCCCCATCAATCTTCTCGTTTTATTTCGACGAGAAATTATGACTTTCTAATTTCACCTGAAAGCATAACTCGATTCAGATTCTCAATAGAAACTTTTGCATTTTCTCTCGCTAAGTGCGGTTCGCTAATTTAGTGCTTGCTGGTAAGTGGTGCAATAGCTGCTCTTCTCCGTGCTCATATTTCTTCATTATGTAAATTAATGAGGTTTTGCTGGGGCTTTTTTGACAGTTTTCCTTTCTTAATTGCATTATACGGTATTGATTCTTTTGTATTTTCCCCAAATGTTTCCTGGCGGAATTAGGACTGTAATTTTGATCATTATCCAAATATCACATAGTGTTTTTCTTCATTATTTCTGCCTCTTGCACGCTTTAGCATCGTTCTCAAAACATTAAGAAATTTTACTAAAGCGGACGCTTTCTTCATTCTATTGCTCTTTGACTTATGTAATCCATTAAACGGTAAGCTTCAATTATTAGGTCGTCAATCGCCTCTCTAACCGACAATATAAGGGATTTTTAGCTGCGAAGTTTGTAACAGTGTTTTGATTGTTACACATGGAATTTCCGTCCATAGAATTAATGGAGCATAGGTATTAATCACGTATAGTCATCATAACAGAGAGCCAATGCTAGCGAGCTCCATGATTAAATCAAATTCCACAACATTAATCAACCAACGACCGAACATTAGCGACTATATAGGTTAACAACGAAACTGCCAATAAATATCCGATATCCTAGATCGTATTAATTGCGAAATTTAAGTAGAACCTTTTAAACTTAAAACGGGCATCAGTAATGGATTATTTTCCGCGTTCAGTGCACTTGAAATTCCTGCAGCTGAAACAATACAATGTTTTACAAATAATTAGCGGTTTTCGTCATTATCGATTTTTAACCGAAAACAGAGTCATTAACCCTGATAATTTATTACAGAACAACAGTTAATTAAAAAGTTTGCACTGACAAGGCCTGAAGCTGATCGTGAAAATCTATCGAGTGTAAACAGTAGCCAACTCAAAAGGTTGATTAAATAGAACGCATTAAAAAAAAGAACGTTTTCAGCCCTTTCGTATTCATTTCGAGATTTTTACAATTTTTCAAGGTTTAGCTTCTTTTCGACCGTCAAAAACTTTGCCAATTTCGCTTTTTGTGTCAAACCAGCCATCACTGATGTGGAAAGAAAATGTTTGAAACGACGGCTTCGTCTTCTACCTAAACACCTGTAACATACAAATTTGGCTTTTTATGCGTCAAACAATCATACCTAAAGTTCGGCATGCTCAAAAGTGCAACGGTAACAAGCATCCTAAGAACATTTGGAGCATGCTCTTGTAGCCGCATTATAAGAGCGAATAGTTTCAAGTTGGAAACGTGCTTTGAAGCGAAAACTTAAACGCTAAAAGTCCCGATGGGCCGTTCGGCTAATAGAAAAATTCACGAAACTCCCA